AGCTGGTAGTTTGGAACTGCTGACCTTATGGTAATACAATCATTGTTGCTCTTTTAATTTATTTTTGCCTTTCTCTATGGGTTGGAACCAATGGCACACAACAACTATTATTTAAAAGGTAATACGTGGTAAAAAATTCAAATTGTATCAACAGTAGAGTAAAAAGTTTCCCTCTCCTGTCCTCCTGCTCTTGAATATACTTTCAGAGATGTTTTCTGAGTATACAAGTATACATGGATAATATTCTGAGTTTTTTCTCTTGTTTTTCAACTTGTGTGTATTGAGTGAAGGTTTACAGAGCTGATTATCAGTTGGCAATATACCTTTTTATTTTTGCCTACACTTTTATTAAAGGAGCGCTGCTAGCGTTGTGGTTACAGCACACCACTACCATCACTTTTATTAATACAGATACTATATTTCTCTGGGCTTTGACTATTTACAAACAATGCTGCATCGAGTAATTAATTTTTATGTAATTTTCCCCATTTATCTGAATACAGTGATTTCCTAAGATTGAAATAGCTAAAGGTTATGTTCATTTTTAATTTTGGTAATTATTTGCCAAACTGCTCTCCACGAAGTTTGTACCAATTCGTATTCCAAGTGGTGATGTGCCGTGGAGTCGGTTCCGACTCATAGGGAACCTGTCCAGGGTTTCCGAGGCTGTAAATCTTAACGGGAGCAGAAAGCCTATCTTTCTCCCCCTGAACTGCTGTTAGTTTGGAACTGCTGACCCTGAGGTTAGCAGGCCGATTCATAACCACAATGTTACCAGAGCTCCTTTCATATTCCAAGTAGCCACACAATTATGTCAATTAAATTTTGGGTTCTTTGCCACTATGCTACCGCATGAACATTTAAATTTGCATGCATTTTTCTTCCATGAAATCGTTTCATATATTTAAAAGCCACTTGTATTTTTAATCTGTTGTTGTTAAGCGCCATCGAGTCGGTTCCGATCCATAGAGACCCTGTACAGGGTTTCCGAGGAGCGTCGAGTGAGCTTGAACTTAGGACCTTGAGGTTCAAACCGACTTTGTAGTGCTGCACATTAAACCCACAACGCTGCACCAGGACTCTTATTTTAAAGTGAAAACTTTCCTTCCGTTACTATTTAATATCTTGACTTCCTCATTCCACCCAAAATCGGTGCTCGGGAACCGAGCGCTTTGTCCATTGCTTTTGTGTCATCTGTTGAATGAATGAGGTTCAGAGAAATGACTGGCGCACGTCTTAGTGTAGTCAAGACCAGAATTCTTGGCTGACTCTAAAGCCCACACGTTTGTTTTCCGACAACCTAGGGGAGATACTAAACACTCTATTCACCAGACCCGGGGCCAGAAAGGTAACGGAAAATGGCTGGAATGCTTTGGGATGTGAGGACCGTGCCAAAATGGCGAACAAATACTTATCTAAAGTCGCAGCCGCTATTCTTACCCACTTTATTGCATGCCTATTGTCGGCCTTCTGTATTTTCCGAAACCGGATTTCCGGTGTTCTGGTGAAAGCTCAGGATTTCAAAGCATTTCCAAACAACTATGGGTTTACACACTAACGCAGACACAGAGCCAATCAGGTGGAGAGTGACAGCCAAGAAACAAATAGGTTTGTATGCAAAAAGAGGAGTCTGTGCCGTCAGGCTAGTGGGTTGAGGATTCCCGAAGGATAGAAACAAGCGCAGAACGCAGTTTAAGCACGCCCATCCGAGCGGCCCGCCGGCTTCTCCAGCAGCTTCGGTGTGGGCATTAGAAGATGCCCCGAATAAAGGTAATAACTAGCTGCACATTTCCTTATCGGTTCCAGCAGAGCCAGCTTGCCTTAGGACTGAGTTCGAGCCCTTGATCTCAGAGGGGACACCTCAGGTTCTGCAACCGAATTCCTTCCTGCTTAGTCCCGCCCTGCCGTCCCCTGGACCACCACTTCCGTTTGCCCAGTCGTCTGGGAAACCGGCGTCTTCCGGTCGCGCAGTGGTGGGCGGAGCTAAGATGGCCGAGGAGAGACCGGAGACGGTGAGCGCCGACTTTTTCATTAATGTCCCAGCCGCCAGGCAGGCAAGGGGAAGGCGGCTAGACAGGTTGGCGGGCGCTGGGCCCTGGCTCCCAGCCCTGGCGCCACACAGCCGCTCCGGGGGAGGCGCGGAGCCGGATCCCGAGCGGCTCGGGGTGGGCGGGGCGGGGCGGGGCGGCGCGCTCCCGCTCCTGCTCTTTCGGGGTCTGGTCACCCAGGGGCGCGTCTGAATCTTTGCTGCTATGGATCTGTTCCAGGACTGATTGCGATCCCACTTGGGCGCCGCTGAACTCTTTCCCTAACTCCTTTTCTAGCTCTCGTGGTTTGGAATGGAAAGAGTAGCACAAATGTAGAGACGGTTTCTGTTAATCCCCTGGATTAGGAATTTAATTTGCTAAAAGCCTAGACGCCTCCCGCGTCACTGCCTTCTGTTTATGGGGTGGGACCGTGTTTCCTCTGTTGTTGAGAAAAGTACTGTTTTGGGATTCAGTTGAAGTCTTAGGTGTTTATTAAACTCTACAGAATTGTATTAAGAGTACCTAGATAAATTCAGATGCCCCAACAGTAATTTTTGATATTTGTGAACCCACCAGCTCCTCCGCGGCACAAAGGTGAGGCTTTCTGTACCCGCAAAAGGATTGAAAACCTCAGAAACCCTATTAAGGGTCTTTCTGTGAGTCGAAACCGACTCCACCCACCCGTTGTTGTTCTTGGGTGCCATCGAGTCGGTACTGACTCATAGTGACCCTATGCACAACAGAACGAAACACTGCTGGATCCTGGGCCAACCTCACAATTGTTGCCACGCTTGAGCCCATTGATGCTGCCACTTTGCCAATCCATCAGAGAAAAGGGGTCTGCCTCTTTTTCTCTGACCCTTCACCTTACCAAACATGATGTCCTTCTCCAGCGACTGGTCCCTCCTGACAATATGTCCAAACTGGCCTCCAAGGATCATTCTGGCTGCACTTCTTCCAACACAGATCTATTGGTTCTTTCGGCAGCCCATGTCACTTTCAGTATTCTCCTCCAACACCATAACTCAAAAGCATCAATTCTTCTGTAGTCTTCCTTATTCACTGTCCAGCTTTTGCATGCATATGAGGTTATTGAAAATACCATGGCTTGGGTCAGGTGCACCTTAGTCCTCAAGCTGACATCTTTGCTCTTCAACAGTAACAGTATTTACCTCTATCCCCCTCCTTTTTTTTGGATGTACAAATATCACACAGAAAATATACTGTAAATGTTCGAAGGGCACATTTTGCAAGCCAGCCTCCTGCCTGCAGGCACACAACCTTTCTCAGTCCATGGGCCTACAGTTCTCAGTTGCTCAATCTATGCTGTTGCCTCTGCTACCACCTCTGCTCACTGCTTTTCTGGTTAGGATCCCATGCTACACTCATGCTCATCCTTCTTGCTGGTCCTAGGGTTCTCAGAATCTCTTCTGACATCCATTTTTGTCCTTTCTTTTGTGTCTTTTTAATGATCTTTTGCTTTCTTCCTGAATGTTGTTCTTGATGCCATCCCACAACTCTTTCTGGTCTTTGCTCATTAGTGTCTAATGCATAACATCTTTTCCTGAGATGGTTTCTAAATTCAGGTGGGATATGTTCAGGTCTTATTTTAGCTCTTGAGGACTTGTTTTAATTTTCTTCAGCTTCAGCCTGATCTTGTAGAAGAGCAATTGATGGTCTGTTCCACAGTGTGCACTTGACCTTGCTTTTGCTGATGATATGGAGCTTTTCCACTGTCTCTGCCAACAGATGTAATCATTTTGATTCCTGTGTTTTCCAACTGGTGAAAACCATGTACATTGTCACCTTTTATGCTATTTAAAAAGATATTTGCAATGAGTACATTGGTCTTGCAAAATCCTATCATGTGATCTCCGGCATCATTTCTATGATCAGGACCTTATTTTTCAAATACTGAACTTCCTCTTTGTTTCCAATCTTTGCATTTCAGTCACCAGTAATTAGCAATACATGTCGATTGCATGTTTGATCAATTTCAGATTGAAAAAGTTGATAGAATTCTTCAATTTCATCATCACTGGCTTTTATGGTTGGTGTACAAATTTTAATTATAGTGATAATTAACTGGTCTTCCTTGTAGGCTTATGGATATTATCCTTTCATAGACAGCATTATAGGTAAGATGGATCTTTATGTGTTCTGTTCCGTTTAATTTTTGACAATTTCCAGTATTCCTAGATTCATTTTTTGTGCATTCTGTTTTCTGATTATTAATGGATATTTGCAGCTGTTTTTCCTCATTTTGAGTTGTGCTGCATCAGCTAATGAAGGTCCCTAAAGTTTTACTCCATTTGTGTCATCACGGTCAACTCTACTTTGAGGAGGCAGCTCTTCCCTAGTGCCTTCCAATCTGAGGGACGTATCTTATGATAATATATCTGATAACTTTTTGCTGCTATTCGTAATGTTTTCATTAGCCTAATATTTAGAAGTAGCCTGCCTCTTCTTTCTACCATGTCTTAGTCTGGAAGCTCAGCTGAAACTTGTCCGCCATAGGTGGACAAGTTTAAAATACAGGTAGCACGGCTTCCAGCATCATAGCCACGTGCAGGGAAACATGTTCTGACAAAAGTGACAGATGACTGGTGGTTCTTTAGTTTGTTGTTGTTGTTAGGTGCATTAAGTCGGTTCTGACTCATAGCGATGTTGTGCACAACAGAACGAAATACCTTCCCATCCTGAGCTATCCTAACGATCATTATTAAACTTGAACTTACTGCTGATGCCACGGTGCCAATCCATATCATTAGGGGTCTTCCTCTTTTTCACTGACCTTCCGCTTTACTAAGCATGATGTCTTTCTCCAGGGACTGGTTCCTCCTCATAGTATGTCTAAAATTTGAGAGATGAATTCTCATCATCCTGGCATCTAAGGATTATTCTGGCTGTACTTCTTCCAGTACCGATTTATTTATTCTTCTGGCTGTCCATGGTACTTCTAATATTATTCTCAAACACCATAACTCAAATATATCAATTCTTCTATAGTCTTCCTTATTTTTTATTCAACTTTCACATGCATATGATGCTACTGAAACTAATATGGCTTGGGTCAGGTGCGTGTTAGCCCTTAAACGAACATCTTTGCTTTTAAAAAGGTCTTGTGCAGCCGATTTGCCTAAGGCAATACACCATTTGATTGCTTGACTGCTGCTTCCTTGAGTGTTGATTGTGGATCCAAGCAAAATGAAGTCTTTGACAACTTCAGTCTTTTTCCATTTATTATGATGTTATTCATTTGTTCAGTGGTGAGGATTTTTGTTTTCTTTACATTAAAGGACAACCCATAATGAAGGCTGTGGTCTTTGATCTTCATCACTATTTTAAATCCTCTTCACTTTCAGCCAGTAAGGTGATAGCATCTGTATATCATGTGATCTCCTATCAGCAAGGCCATATTTTCCAACAACTAATCCTTCCTCTTTCTTTCCAACCTTTGCATTCCAATCACCAGTAATTGTCAGTTCATCTTGATTGCATATTTGATCATTTTCAGACTGAAGAAGTTGATAAAATTATTCAGTTTCATTACCACTGGCTTTAAGTGGTTGGTGCATAAATTTGAATAATAGTGGTATTAACTGGTCTATATTGTAGTCATATGGATAATATCCTATCACAGACAGCATTGTACTTCAAGATAGGTCTAAAATGTTCTTTATCACAATGAATGCTGTACTGATGAGTGCCACACCATTCCTCTTGAATTTGTCATTTCTGCATAGTAAACTATACGATTGTCATATTTTGAATGAACACTACTACCTGTCCAATTCAGCTCACTAATGCCTAGAGTCTCAGCCTTAATGTGTTCCATTTAATTTTTGACAACTTCCAGTTTTTCTAGATTCATACTTCATATATTCCATATTCTTATTATTAATGGATGTTTGCAGCTGTTTCTCCCCATTTTGAGTAGTGCTGCATCAACAAATAAAGGTCCTGAAAGCTTTACTCCATTTGTGTCATCACGGTCAACTCTATTTTGAGGAGGCATCCTTCCCCAGTTGTATTTTGAGTGCCTTCTAACCTGAGGGGCTCATCTTCTGGCACTGCATCTGACAGTGTTCTGCTTCTGTTCACCATGTTTTCAGTGACTAAACGTTTAGAAGTAGCTGACCTCCTCTTTTTCCTGCTGTGTTTTAGTCTGGAAGTTCAACTGAAACTTGTCCACTATGGGTTGTTGTTGAATATGCCGTGGAGTCGGTTCCGACTCATAGTGACCCCGTACAGGGTTTCCGAGGCTGTAAATCTTTACGGGAGCAGAAAGCCTCATCTTTCTCCCGCAGAGCGGCTGGTAGTTTCGAACTGTTGACCTTGAGGTTTGCAGCCTGATTCATAACCACTATGCTACCAGAGCACCACTACAGGTGACCCTGTTTAAAATACCGATAGCTTAGCTTCCAACATTACAGGAACACCACTGTTTAACAAACTTACAGACAAGTGGTGGCTCCATAGGCTAGCAAGGTGTGTTGCTGTTGTTGTTGTTAAGTGACTTTGAGTTGGTTCAACTCATAGTGACCCTCTTTAGGGTTTCCAAGGAGTGACTGTTGGGTGTAAACTTCCGACCTTGTGGTGCAAACTGACCTTGTAGTTGAGTGCTTATCCTACAGTACCACCCCCAGGATTCTATCGGAAAGTATATATGGTGTTGTAACGTAGACTTCTGTCATTTCAGAGAACTCAGTTTCCTGCATCTGTTGAATCTCAAAAACCTCGACTGAAAAAAGGTCTGTATAGCAATTTCATTGTTTACGTGTGTTTGTACCGATTTCCCTTTGACTCATTAATTCTGTGTTCTGTGTTTTGTGCATTATAACTTAAAAAAACCTGAGTGTTAACTAACAGTGGTTATACAATCTCCTGTGTTGTTTTTTATAAACTATATATAACAATATTAATATTTTTTAAATATTGGAGTCTAAAAGTAACCCGGAAACCCCAAGCTAACCTTATAAAAGAACATTTGCCACTTTCAGGAATTTATAGTAAAGGAATCAGTATGTTTGCAAACATGAATGATTATTTTGGTGTTTATATTAGTAGAAATGGAAATACTAAATATCCAACAATAAGGAATTAGGTTATTTTTCATAAAATGGAATTATAATCATTTATTAGTAATATAATAGTATTAAATTTACTGATACTTACCACAGATTGTTAAAATTTAAAAAAAGTTTTAAAAAATGAGTATATCATATGATTTGTTTCTATAGAATTAAGGGTTATGGAAATTAATTACATTATAGTTGGTAGCTATTCTGAAAATATGTCATTTTATGTACTCTGTAAGACAATTCCATATAAGCATTTATGGTGGTGGTGGATATGTGCCAAAGAGCCGGTTTTGACTCATAGAGATCATGTATAGGTTTCCAAGGCTGTAAATCTTTATGGGAGCCAAAAGCCTCATCTTTTTCCCACAGACCTGCTGGTAGTTTCAAACTGATGACCTTGAGGTTAATAGCCCGACTTGTAACTACTGTGCTATCAGAATTTCTTTATAAGTATATATATATGGTGGTTGGTTGGTTATGTGCCGTGGAGTCGGTTCTGACTCATAGCTACCCTGTACAGGATTTCCGAGGCTGTAAATCTTTACGGGAGCAGAAAGCCTCGTCTTTCTCCTGCGGAACAGCTGAGAACTGTTGACCTTGTGGTTCGCAGCCCGATTCGTAACCACTACGCTACCAGAGTATATATGTTTAAATATATATATTGTTGTTAAATACTTATAACACTTAACAACAACAAACCTCATTGTTTCTCCTATGATAGTAAATGACTTGCATTAATTTTTTGGAGGGGTCGTGGGTGGTGGTGCTGGTGGTAGTGGTGGTGGGTGGGCCTTCCTTCACCACTCCACTAATTAAAATAAGGACTCAGCAATGGTCTTTTTAAGATTACCTGACCTGCCGGTGATTCAGAAGTGTAGCCGGTATTGAGTGAGACTCCTGCTGATAATAAGAGATACTTACTAAATGTTCACTTCTTAGTTTAAATGAAAGGTACTTTGCATTTTGAAGTCCTGGTGTGGTGTCGAGGATAAGCACTGGAATGCTAACTGCAGGGTCACTGGTTCAAACCTACCAGCTGCTCCTTGGAAACCCTATACAAGGTTGCTCTGAGTCAGAACCAGTTTGGTGAAACTTAATAACAACAAGCATGCATTTTGTTTTATCCCTCTTTCTTTCTTTTTTTTTTTTTTTTAAAAAAATGAGAGTAAAATCTATAAATGTGAAGTGCACAGCTTTTGAATTTTGAAAAATACTTATACTCATGTACTTTCCCCTCAGATGAAGTGAAATAATTTTCATCACTTTGCAAGTTTCCTCATTCTCCTTTCTAGTCCTTGTAGTTCTCCAGAGGAAATCACCAAGTGTCTTCACTTTGTTATTAGTGCTGGGATGAGATGGTATCTCATGGTTGTTTGATTTGTATCTTGCTGATGACTAATGATTGTGAGTGTTTCTTCATATCTTTATTGGCTGTCTGACTGTCATCTTTGGTGATGTGTCTGTTTATTACTTTTGCCCATCTTTAAATCGGATTATTTGCTCTTTTCTTGTTGAGGTGAAGAAATTTTCTACACATTTAAAAGAGAGCCTTTGTCTGATAAGTTACTGCCAAAATTTTTTCCCCAGTCTGCGGATTTTGTTTTTAATCTTTCAGTAAAATCTTTTGATACAGCTAAGTGTCTAATTTTTAGGAGGTCCAGTCATCTAATTTGTTTATTTTCCATTATGTTCGATATCATATTTATGAAGGACCTAACTTTGGGGTTAAGTTTAAATTCTTCACTCAGTATGTGTACATACACTTAAAAAAGATATGTAAAGTTAGGCCAAACCAAAACCACTGCTGTGGACAATTTCAGTCATAGCAGCCCTGTGGGACAGAGTGGCGCTACCTAACTGCTCCATAGAAATTTCAGGGCTGTAAATCTTACCTGAAGCAGACTGTCTCATCTTCCCTCCCTGAGTGGCTTGTGTTTCCAAACCACTGACTTTTCAGTGAGGTGCTTAATCTAGAACAGGAACCTTTTTTTTCTGCCAAAATTTCTAACATCATTCACAGGCCATACAAAATTATCAATTTAAAAATTAGCCTGCTGTATTTGGCCAAAAATTTACTCAACTCACCCCTATTGTGGACTCCTGGAGTCCTGGTGTGGCATTGTAGGGTAAGCACTGCACTGCAAGGTTGGTTTGAACCACGAGTCAGTGGTTCAAACTTATACCAGCCACTCCTCAGAAACCCTATACAGAGTTGTTCTGAGTTGGAACAAAGTCGACCGCATTTCACAACAATGTGGACTCCTGGCATGGAACTAACTATAGGATAAGTGCTAGACTCTGAGCCACAAGGTTGGCTGTTCAAACCCACCAGCTGCTCCTTGGAAACCCTAAACAGGGTCGCTTTGAGTCGGAACTGAATCAGCGGCACTTAACAACAACAACAACAGTGTGATGGCTGGAACTGCGGCTGCCTCGGCAGGGCAGACCAAATGCTTTTGAGGGCCTTATGTGCCTGTGGGCTGAATGTTCGCCCACCCCTGATCTAGGATTTGCTGCTAAACCGTGGTTTTATATGACTTATCTTTTTCTTCTTCCTCCCACTCTTATACTTTTAAATCTCCTGAGATGCAAACAAGCTGGATAGCAGTTATTTTTTGTATAAAAACCCAGCTTGTAACGTGTGTTCTTAGGTCAGTACTGATTCATTCCTTTATTATTTATGCCCCTGAACAAATAGAGTTGATGTTTGTGCTGACCCTGGGCCTGTCTACCCATTACACACTCTTCCCTTCTCTGCTTTGTATTGTGAAGAACTGACCCTTGCAGGCTCCCTTCCTTCTTAGGTTCTTCCTATGTCAACAGTTTCTGGTTAACTTAGTGAGTTGGAGGAGCTGGCAAGAGATTAAAGGGCTAGAGGGATGGCAAAGCCAAATTTCCCCCCTTCCTCTGTGCTTGGGAGAGCCAGGGACTTGGGGAGCATTCTCTGACACTCTTTTCTGTTGCTCCTGCTCCCCGGGATCAGGCCTATCTTGTTTTTAGCTTCCTCAAGGTAATCCAGTCCTGGATTCTGGTGCTGTACCTCTCCTGTCGTTAGTCTTCCGACCTAGAATGTGTAGCGACTTTTGTTCATGCTAGCCTTCAGATTGCCTGTTTTTCTCATTTTTTTTCCTCATCTAAACTCGTTTCCACTGAGGTGATTCTGACTCATGTCAACTTTGTATAGGATTTCTGAGACTAATTCTTTACGGGAGCAGATAGCCCAATGCTTAACCCACAATGCACCTGCTTATTGCGAAAGTCCCTTTCTTTTAAACCCTTAAGAGGCTACTGAGTTTTTGTTTGGATTCTGACTGATACCGAGCTAAATATTAAAAATGTTATAGTCTTGTTCTTTTCAAGATTTATTCTTTTGATATCCCAAATGCATATTGTATTGAGGTAAAAACATGTTACAATTCCTGTTTGGTATGAGGAAATTAGTATTTATTGATTGTCTACTTGGAGATTCTTCGTAATTTTCTAGTGAAAATTATACAGGAAAAATGATAAGTACCTTAACCTAGGTCTCATAGAATGCTAGGATTGTATCAAAATCAGAATTCTCTCTAATTTTATGTTTGCTGCATGCCTGCTAGCCCTGAAATAGGTTTTTTGGCAAAGAGGGGTTCACTTATATGAGCAGGCTTCAAAAAGTTTGTAAAAAAATTCATAATCTTTAAATTTCATTTTCCCAGTGAAGTTTTTGGAGCCCTTTTGTATTGAAAGTCATAGTTATTTTAGAAAAAGTTTCAACTAGAGTCAAGCCACAGTAGTTTTCAGCTTTGCTCTCTGAGGAAATGTTATACCTAGCATTAATCAAACTTTAACGTAAGGTTTGAAATAAAGTCATTTGTGAGAGAACATAGAACGTAGGACATACCACAGGGAGGAGAGTTCTTGCAGGGTAAATGTATAAAATCTAAGTCTGGTGCCTCCTTGACAAGGAAAAACAGGCAAAGAATGTCACAAAAGAATAGAATGTTGGCAGAAGAGAAGGGCACAACAGCAGTGTTGTTGCCAGGTAGCCAGCCTCCCTCCCAGGACCTTGGTGGGAGTGTGAGCGGCAGCGGTGTGAGCTGGAGAAATGAACCAGGTCTTCCCTGGTCTGTGTCTGGCGGGCCGCCTGAGCTCTGATACTGTGAACGTCTCAAGTGTAACACGGGAGCTCCAGTCTCTCTGACTTTTTTGTGAAATAGAGGTGGCTCTGCTTTCCATGTAACATGGGGGCTTCAAAAAGTTTGTGAGAAAATTCCATCATCTTTGAATTCCATTTTTCCACAGACTTTTTGAAGCCTCCCCTACCCTCTCCCGCCCTGTAAATTCCTATCTTTTTGGAGGATCTTTGAAATAGGTAATTCTCTTAATACCTGAAAAAGTGTATAGGAACTCGTATCTCTGTTGGCAAGAGGAGTTGGAGAGAAGTGGTCAATGATCTGGAAAATGAATTCAACTTCTAGATTCACAGGTAAAATTCTAACTGTAAATTAAGGATTTGTAGAATCAAGAGGTTTCTAAGGTATCTAGAATTCCTAAATATTAACTATGATAAAACCCAGCCACAACAGATAACTTTTTATGGACTTACTTACTATATGCCAGCCACTCTTGGAACCTCTGTTTATAAGGTCACTCAGTCCTCACACTCTGAGGATGGGTGATTTGACTCCCTC